CCTACTGGTTCAACTGTAATGCCTGTTTGTCTTCAATTAGGTGGACTAAAACTATTTGTTATTTCTCAATACCTAGGGCACATTAGCCCTGGCACATCTTGGTGTGTTTGAAGTACATTTTAAGGTTGGATTTAAGGCATAACCTATAAAGGGTGACTGGCTATGAAGGATCTTGATTTGAAATTCCAATTGTTTCTCCCACCCTTTCACATGTTGGGGACATCCTGAACCAGAGTTCCTTTGAATGAACATTTTAAAAAGCAATTTGTGTGGAAGAAAATGTGCAACTTTGGCCTATAGTCAATCATGATGCTGCTGCAATTGTCTGCATACTTACTTGGCAATAAGAAGCCTCACTGAACTTAGCAGGACTAAATTCCAAGTAAGCATGCATAGAACTGCACAGTGCTTTTCGGGAAAATAGCTGGGCTGAATCTTGGATGAACATGAAAGCAGCAATGTGTTATTGAAGGAAAGTTTATATCTAACCTGAAAGTTGTGAACGTATTCCTGAAATGTATCTGTACAGCAGTCCTTTTGCAGAAAACAATAACTACAGAATAATGACTGACTTAAAAAAAAACAACTGACAAAAAATATGGATGTTTGAACATAGAAATATGAGCTGTCTGAAAACATCAAGATCAGTGTCTTTATTACAATACCCTGTGCTGCTGATGAAATTGCATGTTGCTTCTCCCAACCCCGCAAAATAACCATTGCACATACAATCTAATATTGCTTTCAGAGTTTCAACTCCCAGGGCTGAAAAGCTTTCTAACCTTAAAACAGCACACACACAAAAAAGATCTATATCTATCTATCATCTATCTATCTATCTATCATCTATCCATCTGGATGTGGAAACAGAAAGCCTTATATTCATCAAAACTTCATGTAATTCTCATAAAAGGTACATAGCTGGACTTACTTTTTCTATCTTCAAAGCATTGACTTCAGCCAGATCATTCTCAACACATCTATAGCAGGAAATGATATTGGCAGACAGTGGATGGTGCTCCTGATGAAAACGTTAACAATGACTTTGTCAGTTTGTGATCAAACAGAATTTGTAAGAACTAAAAGTAAGGATAATGAAATCGGAGTTCTTACCTGACAAGGCTTGCTCATCCAAAAGAATTTTTAAAATGTCCTGTGTCTCATGTCATTTCGGACGCTTTCGCACTTACACCCACAAACAGCGGCACATTTCTCCAGTGGTAACTTAAGCATGAATGTACTTCACATACCTGCCAAGGGCCCTGGTAAAAATGGGACAACTTGGGGGGTTTTTTTGCAGGAGATTACGGTGGCCATTTTGGGTGATAACCTCACGCACTCTAGCCCGCAAAATGCACTTTTTGGGGGCCCACGATGTTCAAATGCCCTGAGACTTTATCTTCTTTCCACATAATCTGAGCACTGGATTCTGTTGTCCTGCACTGTTTACCTTCCCTTGTATTTATTTAGAATGGATGACAATATTGCCCTTTGTCTCAGCAAATAACACTAGGTCCCTAGAAGTGGAATAGTTTTCGTAAGGTAAAATCTCACCATCATGGCTATGCCAGTGTATTCAGCTTAAGTGTCTGTTCCATCTTGGGCCCACTTTAGTCATTATAATTTTTTTTTAAAAAATAAGATCAAAATATGAAGTTTGGAGGAACCAAAGGGGCATCTCTAGCTGGAATCTGTTGCTGAGAAAATTACTTCCCGTCAGTTCATGGTAAGGCTACTCCTAGATCAGAATAGAATGGGAGCAAGTTATTTAGCATAATGTTTATTTCAAATCATTTCTGAAATGAATAATTCCCTTCTGCTACTTTGGTTAAGAAACCAAAAGCACTAATACCTGTCAGCCCACTAAAAAACAAACAAAGGATTTGTCTAAAATCCAGCAATCTGGAACATGAGACAGATTTGTGACAACGTCTACAAACTAATGAGATGGAGACGAAAGCTGCATTTGCCTGCAGGCTGTGTCCACGATGTCTGAAAGAAAACCATATTTGTTTTGATCTGTTCAACATTCTGTAAGCACTGAGATGGGCCCCTTTGCATGAATAAACTGCCTGCATGTACTTGGAAATCAAATGAGAACTGATAGTTTCCCTTATTTAAACAGTCCTTTGTTTTCAAGTATTTCCCCCCAGTTAGTTCATGCAGAAGCGTGCCTGCAGCACACTGAGCTGCCCAGAAAATGCAGCTTCATTTTGTTACAGAACGCCACACGAAGGAGAGAAGATGGTGGAATGACTGGTGTCATAGGTATGTGCAGGTGCTCGAACAGCTCATGCCAAGTGGCAGCCCCTGCCAATAAAGTGGAAAAAGCCACAATACACTCTATCATTTGGACTGTGCAGTTTTAGTCCTTACGATGTCAGCAAACAGATTGCTGCAGGTGTCGGCTAAACTCACCATCGGTAATCATCAAAGCAATTTCAACACAAAACATGGTCAGTTTCAAATTGACAGAAGAGAGGTTACACATTCCATTTAAGGTCCACAGTGCAGAGGCATAAAATATGACATTTGAACCATCATACGTCAGCTTAAATATATACGTGAACCTGTTGCCCATGCACACAGCCCCTTTCTTGCGAGCGATGGCGGACTTGGAGCTCTCAAATTTCAGTGGCACCTTGTGCGCTGATAAAATCCAGTGCCCACCCCGCCTCTCATGCTCCATTCTACAGCATCATCATGGTGCCCCATGCAGCAATGGTGACCAGTGCAACCGAACTGGTTGCTCTACCCTTAAACTGCCTCTGTTGTGAGCCATGATTTAAAACAAAGAGGCATCTAACTAACCAGTTTCCTGTTCCATCTGAAACTAAGATTACTAGTTTTGGAACAATCTGGGATACTAAACTACGAACTGAAGTTGGTTTATTATCTTGGAACGTTCCAAAACTGGGAAACTACGGTTTATTAAGAGCTTCCAGATTTAACTATGGCTTGGGTAAAGGGGACAGAAGCCCTTTGACAATCTCAGCTTAATAAACCAAGATATGATTGTTTAAGCTTGTTGGCACAGTTATTTTTTTCCTCCATTGCCTGTGGAAAGCATTTCGGAGTACCCTGTTAGCTGCTGCAAACCAGAAAGCCAGATAAGGGAAATGCAGCTAATGTATCACACGTGGAAGCAGACTGGGAATTGCTGTCACTTTGCCATCAGCTGAATGAGTTACAGCAAATCCCTTCATACCCCCTGAGTGTATAACTTCCATTTCATCACTGCCTGTCTGAGTATTTTGTCACAAGCCCTAACAGAAAACACCTTGGATCGCTTTCTCCTGTGTGAACAATGAGCTTCCTGGGAAGCCAAGTTTGTTACCTTGCCCTCGTAAACGTTATTCTGAAAGGGACAGTGATAATCTTGACTCCCAACAAACTGCCAGATGTATGCCAAGAAAGGGTGCCTCACATTCAGCATCTTAACACTTCCTTGCTGCCCAGAACTGGCCACTCTGCTCTGAGATGCTGAGAATGTATAGGATCCAAGTGACACGTGTGCGTTTTTCATGCACCTCATGATGATTCCAGCAAACCTGGAGCCCCATTAAATTGATAGTGACAGCAATGTGAAAGAAGAAAAATGGAACTGCTTTGCAGATCCCAGCTGAGACTTTGAAAATCCTACAGTGCATTCAGGCAAAGGCTCTAGACCCAGGGTGCCAGAGTACCCGGGAAGGCTACATAATGCAGACCACCAAGCAGATGATTTGCAGAATAAAAGAATGCTGACTTGTGCACACCACGCTGAGGTATTTCATTTCCGATGTTATATTTTGGGACAATTAACATGCCTATGAATGCAATTGCAGAGAACACCATGATCATGAAAATAACACACTGAAAAGAGGCAGGTCCCACATCACCTGGTAGCCTGGCTGGGCAGCTGCTGGTTGCCCGCTGTCCCAGCCTCCCTTCCCCAGCTGTGATGCTGCTTCTATTTCTATGTTACATCTGAATCACGTCTCGGTTATGAAAATGATGGAACAATGCCTGGATGTAGTGGCGGATGGGATGAGAGCTAATAAGCTCCAGCTAAAGGCCAATATGATGGAGGCCCCAAGTCTGGCAGGCGACTTATAATGCTGCACTATCCCTGAAGGAGCAGGTGTGCAGAATGCCCAGGTGGTGGGAATGGCACCTTTTACCACCTTTGATTGGTGTTGCAGGTATGACTGCTCTTGGGTCACGCTAACCATGCCACACTGACTTGGTAACACCAGGACTGGGCTACTGTGATGTGTTCTAGAAGGGGCAACCTTTAAGATTGGTACAGAAGCTGCAGCTAATGCAGAATACAGTGCTTAGGCTGCTGACTAAGAAAGCTTAATGCAAACATTTAACACCGCTTTTTAAAGAACCGCATTGGCTGCCAATACGCTACTGTGGGTGGCACTGTGGGTTAAACCACAGGACTTGCCGATCAGAAGGTTGGCGCTTCGAATCCCTGTGACGGGGTGAGCTCCCGTTGCTCAGTCCCTGCTCCTGCCAACCTAGCAGTTCGAAAGCACGTCAAAGTGCAAGTAGATAAATAGGTACCGCTCCGGTGGGAAGGTAAACGGCATTTCCGTGTGCTGCTCTGGTTCGCCAGAAGCGGTTTAGTCATGCTGGCCACATGACCCGGAAGCTGTACGCCGGCTGCCTCGGCCAATAAAGCAAGATGAGTGCCGCAACCCCAGAGTCGGCCACGACTGGACCTAATGGTCAGGGGTCCCCTTACCTTTACCTAAAGTCCTAAACTGCTTCCGACTGGGTTATCTGAATGGTTTGCCCTGTATAGATCTGCCTGGAGGGGGCTAGGCCCATTCATGCTGCACTAAACAACATGTGGCTGCTTTCTCTCAGCCTCACCTATCCCACTTACTTCACCTGCAGTATAGGGATGATAATTCTTGCTCACCTTACCAGAGCCTTGTTATTAACTGAGCTAATGTATGTGAGTACCACTGAACACTTGACATGCAGTATATACATGCTAAACATTATTATAAGCACAGTTCATTAAAGATGTCTGGAAGGGAAATGCAAGCCTTTCTGCAACAGTAAATGCACATTTTACATATAATGCCATTATCTGCTTACTGTCAATGCATGGTATGAACACAGGATCTCCTGTACTGGAAAGGTACTAAATAGCTTACCTTGCCCTGAGAGGATTGTTGAGTCTGTGCTGGGGATCTGGTCTTTCATCTTCTCATCTTCACTCTCCTCATCGCTAACCTCCTGAAAGATACCAGCAGTAAATGTTGCAGGTGTGAATAACTGTTCAGTCGGCATCTCAGAAAAGGCTGGGCTTAAATCATTGCTGGCTGATTGATCTGCTGGAGGTGGTGAATCAGGATCTCCTGGTCTGAGAGGAACCCCAGTACTATCCAAGGCATTGAAAGGCACTGTGGGCATTGGGTAATCTAGAATGAGGTTTGTATCCTCAATGTCATTAACTGTTGCTGGACTTGCATAAACCAGTGGTACTTCAGAGGTCTAGCAAAGAGAAGAAAGAGAGGATGAAGAAAACCTGAGGAGAGGAACAATTGCTATGATACTTAACTGTGGTCCATGGAAGGCCATTTCACACATTAAGGTTGCTAAGTGCTTGTCTATGATTTGCTCTGGTTTCTATAAACTGTGCTGCAAACCAGGGGTTGCCTCTGTGTAATGCAGGGTTTCGAACACTTGGGTCTCCAGCTGCTGTTGGACTACAACTCCCATCATCCCTAGCTAGCAGGACCAATAGTCAGGGATGATGGGAACTGTAGTCCAAAAACACCCGGAGACCTAAATTTGGGAAACTGTGGTGTAATGTATACAGGTACACTCCAGAAAATATTTTACAACTGTGTACGTATGTGCGCGCACACATGTATGTATTTTTATTTATAGAGTTTATTATTACACTACTTGTCACATATGATCCTGGAGTGGCTCATAACAATATAAATATATAAACGTAACATTAACACATTCACCTGTCCTCTCACAAATATTCAAAATACAGTGGTGCCCCGCAAGACGAATGCCTCGCAAGACGGAAAACTCGCTAGACGAAAGGGTTTTCCGTTTTTGAGCTGCTTCGCAAGACGAATTTCCCGATGGGCTTGCTTCGCAAGACGAAAACGTCTTGCAAGTTTGTTTCCTTTTTCTTAACACCGTTAATACAGTTGCGACTTGACTTCAAGGAGCAACTCATAGAACGCAGTGTACATAGTAGCCTTTTTTGAGGTTTTTAAAGACTTTGGTGATTTTTGAAACTTTTCCAAAACTTCTTTTGCAGCCAAGTTAAGCTTTTAAAACTTTTTGGGGGGGGTTTTGGATTTTGGGTTGGGGTGTTTGGAATTCAAGGACTTGGTGTTGGGGAGGGGTTTGCAAGAATCTGGAAGCTTGTGTGTCTTTTTTCTGCATTTTTTATGATTTTCTGTGACCATTGGGCCACTCTGCTGTTTTTTAAAAAATTCTGGATTTGAATTTCTGTGTGCTGGGTGGCTGGGGAACAGTTGGGGAGGGGTTTGCAAGAATCTGGAAGCTTGTGTGGTTTTTTCCTGCATTTTTATGATTTTCTGTGACCATTGGGCCACTCTGCTGTTTTTTTAAAAAAATTCTGGATTTGAATTTCTGTGTGCTGGGTGACTGGGGGAACAGTTGGGGAGGGGTTTGCAACAATTGGGGAGGTTGTTGTACCAAATTTGGCTTTGTTTGGACTTTTTTTGACCATAGGAACGCATTAATTGATTTTCAATGCATTCCTATGGGAATTCGTGATTCGCAAGACGAAAAATTCGCTAGACGAAAAAACTCGCGGAACGAATTAATTTCGTCTTGCGAGGCACCACTGTACTCTGAAGCAAGAGAACTGCTTCATCTGGCACTAGAAAACTGACAGAGTAGGTGCTAGCTAGACTTCAGGGGAGAGAATATTCTATAGCCCAGGGTGCTATTGCTGAGAAGGCCCGTGGTGTGTCTGTCTATAGGAGAGGGTCATCGATATCCTGGCCTCAGTTAACATTAAAACAATGAACAGGGTGGCGATACAATGACTATTGCAATCGACAGAAGGTAGTATCACCAAGGCAACTATCTGTAAACAAATAATAAACATTCATTGTTTGTTCTCAGTTAACATTGGCAGCACCAGAAGAGCCTCCATAGTCAACATCAAAGGAAGGACAATATGGAGAAGACACCATCTTTCAGGTAACTGGGTCCTAAGGCATTTAAGGCTTTAAACATCTGAACTGTTACTTTATAATAGGCCCAGTGACAAATATGACAGGCAGTCCAGATATTTAAGGACTGCATGCCCATTAGTTCTGTGGTTGCTGCATTTTTTTAAATGGCTGGTGTCTCCTGACCATCTTCAAGGACAATACCACACAGAGTGAACTGCAGTGCTCCAAACAGGAGGTTACTAGAGAATGGATCACTATGGCCAAGCCATTCCCTACTCAAGAATGGTCATAACTGGTGAAACAGCCCCAACTGGAGAAAGGCACTCCATACCAGATACCACTTGGGCCTTCAGTGACAAGGTCAAATCAAGGAGTACCCCCACACTACAGATCTGATCCTTCAAGAGGAGTCAACTCCATCTATAACAGGCCACCTACTTCTTTCCTGGATCCAACGTATCATTGAAACCACAGATATTGTAATCTGTGGCCCTCCAGATATTGTTGGACCATGCCTCCCGTCATCAATGACCATGCTGCTGGGGCCTGATGGAAGTAGGAGCCCAACAGCATATGGAGGGTCACAGGTAGGTTACTCCTGCTATATGACATTTTCACATGATCAATAAATAAATTATGCAATAAACACATTTTGTTTTTTGGTGCCACAAGTCATGCATGCTCCAGATTTTGTTTTTAGTATCTGTTGCCTCCTCCCACCATGGGAGACATAGATTTGCTCTGAGATAAATGGCAGAAGGGGCAGGAACCTCTTGGTTCTCCCTCCTTTGCTAGTTTTTAAAACTAGGGCAGATGAGCACCAGCTCTGTTTTGGATTAGCAAACATAGTTTAATTGCCACCAATGGAATAAAATATACAAGTTCACAAAATAGGAGTTTATGCGGGGGATTGGGAGGGCAGGAGGCTGAGTGTTGGAAACTTTGCCTTAAAAACAACTGTGTTGAAAAGTTCACTCCGGCACTAGGGTTTCATAGGATGTGAACACATGGTGGGGGGAGAGGGGAAACAAAAATTGCATGAAGCAGAAGGAGTTGTATTAGACAGAGAAGATATAATAGCAGCCTGGGTCTGTTGGATGCTACTCATATTCACAGTCAAACTTTTATTTTGCAATGATTTTATTGGGTTCCTGGTATATATCTTACCTTAAGGAACAAAGGCAGGAAAATTTACTCACCAACCCAGGCCCAGCGACACCATCGGTTACCATGGATTGGATATCATTATCTACGTCACTTGATGGCCTAATGGTTTCTGCAAAATGAGACAAATGCAAAGGGATTTTTTTCAGTAAATCTGCATAAATGACAAGAAGCATGCTTACTGATCAAAGTGTGCAAAATGTTACATAAGGTGCTATGTTGTAAACTTGAGTAATGCCACACGACAAATACAATTACAGAGCTGGGGGGGGGGAGTTGGTCATTCAATATGAATTTAAATTTTAAAGATGCTGCTTACTCCAGAGAACTAAGCTCTCTCTCTAAATTAACTAATGGGAAAGAGCAGTATGAACTCAGATTGTTCAGGATGTCCACATTGCAAGGCCTCGGTCCTGTATACCTGAAGGAGCGTCTCCACCCCCATCGTTCAGCCCGGGCACTGAGATCCAGCGCCGAGGGCCTTCTGGCGGTTCCCTCATTGCGAGAAGTAAGGTTACAGGGAACCAGGCAGAGGGCCTTCTCGGTAGTGGCGCCTGCCCAGTGGAACGCCCTCCCAGCAGATGTCAAGGAAATAAACAACTATTTTACTTTTAAAAGACAACTGAAGGCAGCCCTCTTTAGAGAAGTTTTTAATGTCTAATGCTGTATTGTTTTTAATATTCAGTTGGAAGCCGCCCAGAGTGGCTGGGGAAACCCAGCCAGATGGGCGGGCTATAAATAATAAATTATTATTATTATTATTGTTCCCATTACACAGCAACAGGTCTGGGTTTACTACTGAGTGTCTATTTGGCTCAAAGTGCCAATTAATTCTAGCTCGCTGACAAATGTGGTACACTTGTGAAATATATGTGCTGTTCAAATCCATTTGTTGCATTCATACATATATTTATTCATTTTACTGGATCTCTGCAACCTCAGAGAGAATCAATGATGCACAGCGCAAGGTCATTTTCAACTGGCTCCCTAGTTCACAAAGAGGAAAATCTGATTGACTGACCGTCAGCAAACTGAAGTGTCCCAAGATCCATGGACAGTGACTTATCTTCCTGTAGTGCCATGGCAACCATCTGCTGGAGGTCTGTCACTCTCGGTTTAGTTGCTGGTATCTCGCCGTCCGTACTAATAGAACCTTTTTCGTTTTCAATCTTGTTGGAGCTGATAGTTGAGATGTCATCCGCAGGACCTTTAACTTCGGACTCCTCTCTCTCAAAGTTGATGACATACCGAGCTACCGTGCTGCTTGACCTTTGGGTGTGGGAGGAAACTAAGTGTATGATAAATGCTTTTACCTGTGCCAAGTTCATATTTCACTGAAATTGGTTTAGTAATAGAGGAGGACATGGAAGACCTGCTTGTCATTAGGTGATTGATTTCACTGGCTAGCTTGCTAATCTAAGTTAGTAGCAATGAGTCACAACTTCCCTCGGTCACCCAGCCCTCTTCACTGGTTAAAACCCAGTCACACTGCTTTTATGGTGACTGAGATGGGTTAGGAGATATTGCCACTGATGTGAGTTAACAGGAGCTCTTGCAATATGACTCACTCCAGTCATGTAAAGGTCAACTTGGCTAAATTATTGAAATGCCTTCTCCAGGCAACCAACACATTAAAATATCAGCAAGGGAAAATAACATTTAATCCACAATGCAACACAATTAACGATGCAAAATTTAAAAACCAGATTTCCCATCCTTCCTAGTTTGGGTTGAGGCATGCAGGTAGGTGTTTGTGAAGGGGGAGTTGCTTAAAATCCCATTTAGCATAATAAATGAACTTTGCTTCTCACTTGCATGGAAAACCAGATGTCTTTCTAACCAGTATCTCCTAAACAGAATGACTACATTTCCTCAGCATTCAAATAGCAATATTCTTCTCCAAGCACATCCCTTGCTTTTCTAATTGTACTGCAGGATGGTACACATGGCATGGGCAGCTACTGAACAGCACTTATTATATAACTAGTGCTGGATTAAAAAAATCCCACTCAACCCATGGGGTAAGGCGCCTTTCTAAGCAGTTGAAAATGTTTAAAAGACATAGTTGGAGCCTGGACACTCCCTGTTTGAACCTATAAGGAAGGGTTGTAGGTGACTGCTAGACTAGAGCATATTATTTGCATACAGAAGGTTCTAGATTCTGTTTGCAGCATCTCCAGGTACGATGCGGAAACCTTGGAGAGCTACTGCCAATCAGCATTCATAATGCTGAAGTAGATAGCCAATTGCCTGACTTCTCAGTAAAAGGCACTTTCCTATGTTCCTGCGTTCCTAATCTGTCAAGTGCAGAAGTGTTCATGTAAGCAATAACTCACTATATGATGATATAGGTTTGTGTGCGCATGCATGTAGCATCAAAAAACATAGCCCTTCCAGTGCTAGGTCACCTCAACTCCTATAATTTGGTGTTATCAGATCCCAGCAAAAAGGCACATTCAGGACAAGGTAGCCTCCCACATTCAGTACCTGTGGCAACCATATCATGCCGTGTACAAAAGGTAATGTTGACTATAGCACTAATTGGGTAAGTCCCTAGTAGTAGTTGCTGAACAGTCAAACAAAAGCAGTTGTATTTCTACCCTTCTTGCTGGAACAACAGGAGGAACAGGGCACATAAATAAAAGTGTCAGGAGACAAGACCTGTTCTGTGTTAGGAGACACATCAAATAAAAAAGGAGTGACTATGTACTCAGAGGCCTGGTTCACATGCCACACTAAACCATAGTTAAAATAAACCACAATTTAATGTGAACCAGCAGTGCTTAATTCTTCCCTTGCTCCTGCTAGGAAACAAACCATGGGATGGCTTGCCTTGTTGTCCAAACCTGGACTTATGCTTTGTTTCTCTCTGAACAAACCACAAGTGGAAGCCAAGGTTTGTTCTTAGTTTGCCACTCATTGTTTGTTTGAGGGAAATAAATCATGAGACCAAGCTCAGGTGGCGTGACAAGTCAGATCATGGTTTGTTCCTTGGCAGTGCAGCAGAAGTGGGGGAGGAGTAAAGTGTCATTCATATTAAACCACAGCAAATTTGACTATAATTTAATACGTCATATGAAGCAGATCAGTGTGCCTTTTCTTCACCTCTGAGTAATCACAAGCAGACCTGAAAGAGCTGGTATGTTCTAGGATAAAGGATTCCAGGGTAAGGGAACATGACTCCTTAAGGAAAGAAAAAGAAGAAGAAGAAGAAGAAGAAGAAGAAGAAGAAGAAGAAGAAGGAGTAGGAGTAGTAGTAGTAGTAGTAGTAGTAGTAGTAGTAGTAGTTTGGATTTGATATCCCGCTTTATCACTACCTGAAGGAGTCTCAAAGCGGCTGATATTCTCCTTTCCCTTCCTCACCCACAACAAACACTTTGTGAGGTGAGTGGGGCTGAGAGACTTCAGACAAGTGTGACTAGCCCAAGGTCACCCAGCAGCTGCATGTGGAGGAGCGGAGACGCGAACCCGGTTCACCAGATTACGAGTCTACCGCTCTTAACCACTATACCACACTGCAAGTGTCATCATGTCAGTGCTTCAATAATGTTACATCAACCTCACAGACAATTAACAGTACAAATGTTTAGGATCAGGATATCAATCTTCACTTTTCTGAATGGGAAAAGGAACAACAAATAGTTATGGACTAAACTTGCTTAAAACTGCTCTGCAATGGCAAACATCTGAAGGGAGGGGGAGACACTGAATTGTGCTTTCCATATTCTACTCCGTGGCAAATCTCCTCAGTGGCGGGGTGGGGTGGGGAATAGGTTTCAAAAACATTTTAGACTTGTATCATACATTGAAAATCAATAGTTACTTGGTAGGCACCTAAGGGGTTCTGAAAAACCTACACGTCAGACAACTTCCTTTTGTGAGTCAGATGATAACTGACCTTCCATCAGCACTTCCAAGATACATAAAGAGAGCCTGAGAATAAGTTTGCTTCTTATCATTTTCTAAAGCCATGTATGAATGCATTTAATTTACTGTGCTAGCACTATCGCTTCCTACTCCTACACAGAAGGTGGCGGTTATAGTAGCTCTGTGATAGGATGATGACCCTATCAAGAGGGAGGTGGGGAGAAGGAATCTGGTCTTCTCAGCAGAACAGAAAAGCAAAAACATTTCCCTTGTCTATTTTATGTTGTAGATGGAGGAACTTTCTGCTATTCGCGTCAGTCTTTGTCTGCCTATGCTGCATAATGGTTTAGGCTAAAGTGGCCTAAAGTCAGCCAAGCCTACATGTTTCTTCCAGATTCTGTATCTTAAAACTAGGTAATTTCACATTGACATTACTATGTATGTCATGTGTTGTTTTTATATAAAAAAAGTGTGGGGAAATTACCCATCTTTTTCCTTCTTCTGTCTTCAGTTCCAGCACACGAAGGCAGGACAGATGGAAGTATTTCGAAGGAAAAGAAAGAAGAACATTAAAGCATACAAACATATTAACTTGCAGTTGATAATATACTCTGCATCTTTCCACTTTGTTATTTGCCAGGGCAAGTGATTTCCATCATTAAAATTCCTTTCTTCACAAAACGTGAGTGCTCCTTTTCTCTTTCCCTTCCTGGAGTAAAAGAAAGCTCTTCAGCTTTCCCCTCTCTTTCCATCTATTTCCCCTCCCCTCCCCAGGTCACTAATTGCAATTCATCGGGTGCTAATCTGTACCTTTCCCGTGGCAACGAAGAAGCTGGGATTGACTTTGTTTGGCTCTTGTCCAAATCCGGGCCTCAGTAACCTGACCTAATTATCATTCTGACTATGCACACTTCTTGAGGCCATGTCCTGCCATGACACTTTGTAATACTGTCCTCTCTTTGTTTGTCTGACATATCTTCCATGCCAAATATGGAGCTCCTTAGCTGCCCCCGCACACCCATGTGGCTCTCCCAGAACAGCTTTCTTTCTCCTAGCTTGAGATGTACAAGAAGGGAAGGCACCAAAACAAAGACTACTTTTTCTCTCGAAGATAATCATGAAAGTCAAGACTCCATTTCTAGTGCTGCTAAATGTTCAGAGGTAAATAGAAAGAATCTTTCTGTAGGGCCAGGTTCTAAACTAGCTATTTCCCAACATTTATATATTAAATTTGCCAGGTAAGTGAATGATATATATGGAGGCTTCTTCTCTATATGTAGCAGGATATCTTTAATCCTTGTGTAACTGATCTTTATTTCTGGTGGTGATGTGCTGCAAAGTTTTGTCAAAACTGGGTGTTGGAAATATTTGGCTCTCCTGGAAACCCAACCAGATGGGCAGGGTATAACAATATTATTATTATTATTATTATTATTATTATTATTATTATTTACAACTCCCATCAGCCCCAGCAAGCTTGACTAACAGCCAGGGGTGTAGGGAGTTGTTGTTCAACAACATCTGAAGCCAGAGGTTCCCCACATCTGGTCAAAATGTAGGTGTGGGATAACACATTAGTATCACATTGATAAAAACATCAGTACCTGGGAGGGGGGATGATAGAAAGCTTTCTTCAAGGCATGGAAAGGGTCTAGATCAGCGGTTCTCAGCCTGTGGGTCCCCAGATGTTGTTGGACTACAATTCCCATCATTCCTAGCTAGAAGGTCAGAGCTCAAGGATGATGGGAGTCGTAGTCCAATAACATCTGGGGACCCACAGGTTGAGAACCGCTGGTCTAGATGGATGTTATGGTAGAATGGGGTGGGGAACCTGTAGTCCCCCAAAAGTTGTTGGACTTCACGAGCCCCAGCATCCTCAGGACTGATGGGAGCTGTAAACTAACATCACCTACAGCATCACAGGTAGACAGTACTGTAGTGGCGAAGAGCACAAGCTGGGATGTCCCCAACTGAAATCTCACCGTAGTCATGAATTAACTAGGATGTCTTAAACAAAACCTGAAAACCTAAATGCATAAAGATGGAGACAATAATAGAGACCAATCTCCTGCATTACTTGAGCATGAATGGGATGTTGACCTAGTTCTGCTGAGGCTCCCTCGCATGTCAGCCTCCACCCAAGTAGAATCACTGTCCCCATCACCACATGAGTCCTTGCTGTCCCTTGGGATCCCTGAAAATTTCAGTGTGCTGCAAACAAACCTTTAATTGTGGGACCACTTATGTGGGTTGTTAAGAACGTGAGTAATAATCTAATGTCCCCAGGGACTTTCTTTTCTGCTGTATGTAAGACAACACTGCATGTTCCCTTTGATCTTATAGTATGGTGGCACCTACAGTTTGGAGCTTTCTGCCTATCGCTTTCGGGAAGGTGGAGCAACAGATAGAGGAGAGAGTGGAGGTGACAGAGGAAGAGGTATTGGCAGGGTCCACAGTCTCACACTGTCTTGAAGTGCCAGTTTAGAAATACTTTTGTCTAAACTAACCTCTCTACCTGCTTTCAAAACTGATGAAAATCAGTAAAAATTATACCACTTAAAAAAGAAATCTCTAAACTGATTACATAGAGTGGAGTTCAACACACTGCTAAGGAGATTGTTCCATCAGTGCATTTTTGCTCTCCATCAGAACCATCTCCCTTTCTCTCTGCACCCCCCCATCTGCTGTCCCAGGGCTTCTCCAGAGGGAGAGGCATGGAGGAGGGAACTGGGGGAGAGTCCCACTGTGCTAGCAGGAGTCCTTGCACTGGCTTCTGCTAGCAGAATGGATGAATTGAATCTGGTCCCCAGAGAATAATAAAAGGACACACAGCAACATTCAGAAAAATTCCCCAAAGCCAAATAAATACAGAACAAACTACAGATCACAGAGAAAACTGATTAGAAGATTCTGAAATGCTAACGTACAACAAAATGTTTCCTAGAATGAAATGCCTTATTTGCTTCCTTAGTGAGAAGGGAATACTTACCCCTAACTAGAAAGTGAATAACGTTATCGCTTACCTAAATCCTAATACACGGATTTCTTTGAATCCTGCAAGTTTCTCAAATATCTTTTGCATCTATTAAACAGAGAGGGGAAAAAGTTAATTATATGTTCATTCTTCTGTCAGGGGAACTAACAGATGTTAGCTAAATAAACATTTACTCCCAGCAGAGCCTATTCTAGCATTTGTAAAACAGAACTTTGGAATTTAGAAAGACCATTGGGGAATTTGCTTTCGTTGCATGGTTAGTGGAGACCTTAATTAAGCATTTTAACTTGGACATGCTGAGATACTGTTTAGATTAATGGACAAAGCCCTGCAACGTTGCAGCTTTTCTCACCTAGTGAGCCTGCATGCATTATTGGTATTGGTGTTTGCAATAAGGTTACAGAGGGCATTGTTTAAGCCCAGGGCCTTGGTTTTCAGGGCCAGGATTCGCTCCAGTTTACATGAAGCAATATGACAGTTCGACTTCCTCTCAGCATGTGCAGAACACCAAACTCCACTATCAACCTCTTCAGTCACTTTATGGTTTTTGATGCATCCTTAAAACATAAAGTGAACAAGGTAGGAACATGTGTTTGCAAACAAATGCATCATGGTGGCTCACTTTATCAGGGAGCCTGGTTTAGGTACAGCTGTTTAGAGTACACTTGGTAATAAATCTACGTCGTGATATAAGCTGGGAAACTGTATGACCTAAGCTTTGAGACCCAAGATCACGGCATTTTGCTGCCAGAGGCAATGGGCAATAGGGTGTCCTCTCCCCATTTACTGGAATGACAATGAAATCTGATTTCACCACTGCTGGCAGAACACTGAGAAGCAAAAGGCTAGCCGGGGTGTGTGTGCAGGATACATGCGCATGCTGTTCGGTCCTCCCAACACCCCTCCACTGCCAACAATCTTTTACTCGGGTCGTTGTTTCACACCACCTAACAGTAGGCAGTGGGTGGGTGTGCCTTCCTGGCATTCATTTATAATACTTGTGTCCCACCTCCCCCTGCACTTGTGGCAGTTAAATCCCATAAAAGAATTTAACCACAGGTTTGAAGCAAAACACTTCTTTAGTTCATGAATGACCAACTTCCTACATCCACAAATCATTATTAGAAAAGGCTTCCACTGTGTTACACAACAATCACTTCCTACACATGATAAATGACATAAGGCAGTTTATTTCCAGTGACTAAGTGATGGGTATATATGGAGACACTATAAAGTGGGATGCAGGAGATAATGGCTGAACCTCATACATGGATGAAGCAGAGAGATAAAAGCCCACCCAAGTGAGCCAACCAATCTAATGGCCTTCTCCTAAATCCACCGACTTATAATGCAGCCTAATGATCCATCCTAGCCCACTTGCTCAGGAAGCGGCTATTGCTGTTGCTACCTAATTAGCCCTTGGATGATACTGTGCATAAGACAAATGACAGAAAAATTATTAGGTGCTTTGTTTCAGTAGACCAGGTTGTGTCAAAGCTGTGCTGACAGTAATGGGGAGGATGGAACAATGACAGAGAATGGCTACGTTGCCTTTCTGACATCACTCTTTTGTGGAAGATGCCCTCAGTGCCCTCCCTTATTGAGTCGGCCAGATTCCTTCCTACATTCAACGCAGCCCATTGTCTTCCCCTCTCCTTCTGAGCCAAATGTACACTACTGCTGCAGAGAGGGCAAAGCATGCAGCGGGCGCTCTTCCATATTCTTGCGCTTGAGTGCTAGGTGAGGGCAAGTGACCAACGTGAACATCAAAGAAGAGGAGCAGGGCTCTGAGGCCTGGCCGTTACCTCCCTGCTCCAGTGTGGACCTCAGAAGGAGCTTGATGACGATGACGCTGGCTTTGCAATACTCCTTCCTTATTTATTTTATTCTATTTACCCCACACATGACTGCATATTTACGTTCCAGGTAAGTTGGCACTAGCTTCTTAGCTAGGTATCTTGAATACCTGAACTTGAGGTACCCATTCAATACCTAAACTCTGTGGACCTACCTCCTGGCTGAGAGAGGTCTCCTCCCTTTTGAACTTCTGGCACTTGGAGAAGACCTTTTTATTTCAGCAGGTATTTAAAGTACAGTGGTACCTCCGGTTGCGGACGGGATCCGTTCCGGAACTCTGGTTGGATCCCGAGGTTTCCGCAACCGGAGGGACTGCTTCTGTGCACACACGGTAGAGCGCTTCTGTGCATGTGCGCGTGGCAAAAACCTGGAAAAATACTTCTAGGTTTGCGGCTTACGTATCCCGAAGTTTACATAAGCTGAGGGATACGTAAGCGGAGGTACAACTGTAAGCTTTTCTGATGTTGTGGTTAATTGTAACCTATTTTATCTTACATATCTTTTTTGTATCTTTATCGACCTAGAGACTACAGTGTATATAAATTGTGGAAATAAAAAGAATATATAAACAGTGCTTCTCTTTCCAAGCAAAACCAGTACTACAGCGGCAGCTCTTTACAAACATACTACAGGATCTCGAAAACACAAATCACAGAAGGCTTTTCGGGTATAAGTTTATAACTTTATGGCTAGCCGAAAGAATCCTACCATACTGAAGCAAGTAACGTAAACATTTGCTAAGCTTCATTTTCCCATGGGAAGCTTAGATTGATTATGGGCCAATATTCTTATTCTTATTCTTATTCTTATTCTTATTCTTATTCTCATTCTCTTGGTTGCCATTTCTTGGTTAATATTTTGTGTTAAACACTGTGGTACATATACTATACATGCCCAACCATCTTCTTTTTTGTATTTATAAAAGGTAAAGGTAAGGGGACCCCTGAACTTTAGGTCCAGTAGTGGCCGACTCTGGGGTTGCGGCTCTCATCTCGCTTTATTGGCTGAGGGAGCCGGTGTACAGCTTCCGGGGCCAGCATGACTAAGCCGCTTCTGGCGAACCAGAGCAGCGCACGGAAACGCTGTTTACCTTCCTGCCAGAGTGGTACCTATTTATCTACTTGCACTTTGACGTGCTTTCAAACTGCATGGTTGGCAGGAGCTGGGACCGAGCAACGGGTGCTCACCCCGTCATGGGGATTCGAACTGCCAACCTTCTGATCTGCAAGTCCTAGGCTCAGTGAATAGACCTTCAGGATTACTGACCATCAGGAACACAGACTGATGATCAAATGGTAACTTACCAGAGGTGCTTATAACTACTTGAAATGCTGGCTGCCTTTGAGCTGGATTGGATGAAACCACTTCCCTGACCTGGTCCATCACATGGAGGACAGCAAGTGCACTCCCCATTGACCCGGCACACCTGTCTCTCCTTCAATTACCCCACACATCCCAATACTGCCCAAGTGTATATAATCCAAAAATGAAGGTCAAAAAACACTCGGTCAACCTCCTGGAAAAATACAATACCCAATTGTGCAATTTTGACTTAAGCACAGTGGTTGTACTTAGATGTTCTGTCCATGCATGGCCATTCCTTTCCTTCTCATGATGGGCTGGATCAGGGGAAAGGGAGCAGCCTATTTGCCAAGTGGGCAGGAGAACCACTGTTTTGTTCAACAGTCAAAAGAGGTGCCCCCTTATTCTTGGAATATGTGCTGCAATGGCAATGCAGCGAACATGTCAGTTAATTTTTTCCCCTTTGTCATGGAAGTGGTGGCAGAGTAGCTACAGACCTTGCCACGAATAATGAGATCTGTCGCTATCCATTTTGCATCAAAAGCTAGAGAACTGAGAGCATTGTATTTGGTTAGCATCGCCCACTGCATTCTTAGATTTTCTTTCTGGTGGAGGCCAATGAGTCTAGGCATGAAAGACAGAGCTGTGAACAATTTCACTGATGAAATTGCGGCAGGCCCTTCGAAGCAGTCAGTGGCAATTTCAGTCAATATATATACATTTGGACTGAAATTATAGATTGATAGATACATGCAAACACACACTTTCCCCGTTATTATTCATACACCTCTCTCAAAACTTGTTTAAAAGCTGTTGGGCTGTCAGTTTATTAGTTCTCAGATCTCAGTAGGGTGTTTTACAATGTGGAAAGTTTACCCACAACTTTGCATAAAAATTTGTGTTACATTCTAGGAAGAGGTTATTTGAAGTTTTTTCCAGCGCACTTTGAATAAGCACTGCATTTGCAAAGGATTTAAGAATTCAAAAGGCAAAGTGAATACCCCAAAGCAGCATTCCCGCAATACCTCCCTCCTCACTTGCCATACTGACTTTTGCTTAACTTTCAACTAAGCAACCTTCAGATCATTAATTGCTGGCTATTAAATAACTAATGAAGCATGCAATTAGCCTTAGTAATGATATAAACATGCCATCTCTCCTCTAACTCAGAGGAAATGGGATAATGCCCAAATGAATAGAGGAGAATGTGTGATTTTGGGTCCCCTGGCAGCTTCCTTTGAAAAGTAGTTCAGACAACAGTGGCTAATTTCATTCAACATTCGTATTTAGATTGCTCATTAGGTTTATTGTTGAAATGAAATCGCTACAAAGTACTGTCCATTAATTCCTGATGAGGCTCAAATGACTTTTCCTAATGGTGTGTAGTACGACTAATGCTCTCTGCTGACTGGGTAACTCTATAGTCTGTCTTATGCTGCTGAGGGGATGCTGGCAACGGGGGAACAGATGCTTAAACCACCTGAGGAGAAGGAGTGCAGCACAGTGGTATAGGCCTCTCATAGGCCTGTACCATCTTGGAACATGCCCAGAGGATTTGAGATAGAAGCGTCTTCCTGTTAAGGTGTTTTTTTTTTGTTTTTGTTTTTACAAGCACACATAGTTCTATTATTTTGTCTATTTATTTAAAATATTAAAAAATGGTGCTGGAGGAGACTCTTGAGAGTCCCATGGACTGCAAGAAGATCAAACCTATCCATTCTGAAGGAAATCAGCCCTGAGTGCTCACTGGAAGGACAGATCGTGAAGCTGAGGCTCCAAATCATGGGAAGAGAAGACTCCCTGGAAAAGACCCTGATGTTGGGAAAGATTGAGGCCACAAAGAGAAGGGGACAATAGAGGATGAGATGGTTGGACAGTGTTCTCGAAGCTACCAACATGAGTTTGACCAAACTGCAGGAGGCAGTGGAAGACAGGAGTGCCTGGTGTGCTCTGGTCCAGGGGGTCATGAAAAGTCAGACATGACTAAACAACTAAACAACAACATTTAAAATATTCATATGCCACCTTTCATTATCAAATCTCAGGGCAGTTTACAGAAAATATTAAAACAGTAGTAAATTAAACACAGCAATCCACATCAGAAAAAAATAGAAAACACATCACTGAAGGCTACATCTGCAAGGGGGACTGTGAGTGTGCCGGGACACTATCTTGCCTCAGTAACGAACTGGATGAGAGCCACAAACTGAATCTCAATCCAGATAAGACCGAGGCACCAAGTGGTTTCCTAGACTTGATGGATGAGAGGTGGCCTGTTGTTGATGGGGCTACACTTTCTCTGAAGGAGAAGGCACATAGTTTTAGGGTACTTCTAGATCAATTGCTGTCACTTGAGGCTCAGGTGGCCTTGGTGTCACAGAGTGCCTTCCATCAGCTTCTGCAGGTGACCCAGCTGCACCCCATCTGGACAGGGATAGCCAACTCCTGTCATCTATGTTTTGGTAACCTCTAGGTTAGATTACTGCAATGCATTATATGTGGGGCTGCCTCTGAAGACAGTTCATAAATTTCAGGAGGTGTAGAATTCAGCAGCCGAGTTGCTCACCGGGACAAGACTGCACTGGCTGCCAATTAGTTTCTGGGCCCAATTCAAGATGGCTCAGCATTGCCATACCTCAAGGACCACATCTCCTGCAGCTAATCCAGACCCTGTGATCATCATAAGACCCTTCTTCGTGTGCCCCCTTCACAAGAGGTCCAGAGGGTGGCAACATGAGAGCGGGCCTTTTCTGCAATGGTTCCCTGTGGAATGCTCTCCCCATGGAGACTGGTCTGGCGCCTTTATTGCATGCCTTTAGGTGCCAGGTGAAAACATTCCACCTCTCCCAGGCCTTTGGCAAATTAAATATTTTATGGCCTTTTAAACTGGGAGGGTATTGTTTTGTTTGTAACTATGTTAATTATTTTTGTGTTTTTATATGGCAAACCATCTTTGATCCTCAGATGAAGGTTGGTGTGTGTGTGTGTGTCTGTGTGTGATCAGCAAATGTTTGGTGAAATAAATGTCTTTAGCAGATGTCAAAATACAGGTAAGGTCAATACCTGTCATATTTAGGGAGAAGGAATTCCAAAGGCTGGGCTCCACAATGGAAAACACCACATCATGTTCACACAGCATAATCTAAATGGCTAAACAGGCTTTTAGAGGTCTCCTTCCAAACCAAATTTTCCCGAAATGCATGAACAGGCATCAGCTAAGGGATAATGAAGAACCACCCCATGAGAATTGATCCTTTTCACAATGTGGGTCAGCTCAACCCCCTTCTCCCCTGGTGAGTTTTAAGCAGCAGCTTGACACAATCACTTTTGTGATCTCCCTGATACATCTAAAGATGAAGTAAATGTGTGTGTCAACATGGGGTTCTCCAGGGCCACATCATTTCTACCCCACAAGATAATCACCACCTCACTGTTCCTCCTGCTACCATATCTATAAACATCAAGAGAGAATGTACAGTTCATATAATTTGCGCACACCTAAGTATTCAACCCTGAACACAACCAACCAATCACATATTGTGGGACATGCAGGTACTTGACCACCTCCCCCTTCAACCCTGCAGTCTCAGGTAGGCAACCAAAACAGGAAGTCTGAATCTTTAGGCAACCATAGATGCATAGGAGCCAACTTCTAGGGGCTATGGGACCTTCAGCCCCCATTAGAAAGTATTTGAGGGGGCTGCCCCCCCAAAGTTGATGGGCATTCCCATTCAAATGGTGTGTGTGGACTGCATCATTTGATCAATTATGCGGGGCAGGGCTTACCTGGGCCCCCACAATATTTTATTCAAGTTGGCACCCCTGCATGGATGGCTGTTGGCTTAATGGCTCACAAATTGTGCAGGGTACCTTTGCAGTGTTGGACGTAAGAGTTAGGAGCAAGCGGTGTTCTCTATTTTGAATGACTGAATTTTTAAACTAACTGAGGTTCCAACTGATATAAAGAGCAATTACCATAAGCCCAGAATGTCGTCACTGTTACTACTTCCTGACAGCTAGCGTGGTCCAGGGTAGTAGAGCGTCAACTGGTTTCTGTGAAATGTGGGTTCAGGTTCTGGTGCTGGGTTATCAGGCAAACTGGTTCTTGAACACAGTGCCTATGTACTTTAAGGTAAAGGTACCCCTGCCCGTACGGGCCAGTCTTGCCAGACTCTAGGGTTGTGCGCTCATCTCACTCTATAGGCCGGGAGCCAGCGCTGTCCGCAGACACTTCCGGGTCACGTGGCCAGCGTGACGAAGCTGCAACTGGCGAGCCAGCGCAGCACACGGAACACCGTTTACCTTCCCGCTGGTGAGCGGTCCCTATTTATCTACTTGCACCCAAAGGTGCTTTCGAACTGCTAGGTTGGCAGGCGCTGGGACCGAACGACGGGAGCGCACCCCGCCACGGGGATTCGAACCGCCGACCTTTCGATCAGCAAGTCCTAGGCGCTGAGGCTTTAACCCACAGCACCACCCGCTGTACTTTAAACCTTGCTAAAACCAAGGACTAGTGTTTTTAATTAGTTTGTATGGCAGAAAGCTCTTTACTTAGCTTGGCATCTCGATATTGATTTGACACTGGCATGCACATGTACAAAACTGTGGACTGAACAGTTGGCATGGACTGATGCATCTTCCCCACTGAAACATGGGACTGCTTATCATTTGCTGAAAGAACAAGACCTTCCCGTATCAAATCAATGAGGTTTAAAAGCGCTTAACTTGCCTATATTGAGCTCTTCATTATTTCCTTGCAAATCTGAACTACTTGGGAAACACAAACCTAAGCAACTTCCCACAGATTTCAGTCTAAATAATTTCACTACTCTATATCAACACACAGCAAAGCAGACAAGAGACACATTTCTTATTTATCACTGTCTATAATGTCCCACTAAATAAACCCAAACCAAACCAACCCTCTAATCAAACAAGCGTAAGTTGTATTGTCATTGAATAACTGAGCGCTCTTACTTGAAGCTGAAATTTTTCAGCTAGTTTCTGGTACTGAGGAGATGTAGGATCACTCAGTTCTGGAGTATACTCCTGGTCAGTGAGGGTCACACTGAACTCCACCATCTGCTCCACAGGACGTTCGGGGACTATGTTCGGGACCTCTGGCTTTGGCTCCTGAGAAGAACAGGAGAGGAAATGAGTTGCCATCCTACCTGGGCAACACCCAATATCCTGTATACTGAAAGTGAACTCATTCTCTGACTGCCAATCTTATGCGATCAAAACTGCACCATCCACACACAAGACAGAGGTATTAACCCGTGAGGTTAGCAGAAGCATGCACATGCACACACAAACTTTGGGAAAGGAGACAAGGTAAAAGGAGAAAAAAGTTGAAGGTTCTGGGGAGAAGAAGAAGAAGAAGAAGAAGAAGAAGAAGAAGAAGAAGGAAACAAAAAACTAGAGAAGGGGAATGGAATACTGGCTGGCTTGTGCTTCAAGCCAGCACTCTACACTACAACACCTTGTCGCAGAACTCACTAATATTATTTAGTTCTATATTTTAAATTATTTAGTTCTATATTTTAAATAAATTTTGTGTGATATTTCTTAAAGATGCATGCACATATCATTTAAAAATAACTGGGCACAGAATCTACACCAACTGATTTTGTATTAAAAGGCTGAATACAGCACTAATCTCTAAAATCATGAATATTTATGTGTATATGAATATGCATATTAGTTACAACTTCCTAGAAAACTATCAGCATGAAAATGTCTATATTTTCCCATGTTCTGAAATCCCTGTAGAAGCAACATCTCCCAGTCGTAGATTGAGACAATCAGTAACAGCATCACAACAAGGAGATGTACCAGTCACTGCTATTTTCAGCTGAGACTTTTCCAAGAATAAGTCAAGTGGGGTGCCCTTAGTGGTTCTGATGCCAGCCACCAGTTTGCTTGGGTCTTCCATCTAAGAAGATTCCACCTAAACATTAGGAAGAACTTCCTGACAGTAAGAGCTGTTCGACAGTGGAATTTGCTGCCAAGGAGTGTGGTGGAGTCTCCTTCTTTGGAGGTCTTTAAGCAGAGGCTTGACAACCATATGTCAGGAGTGCTCTGATGGTGTTTCCTGCTTGGCAGGGGGTTGGACTCGATGGCCCTTGTGGTCTCTTCCAACTCTATGATTCTATGATTCCCTTGGGTTGGTGGGTAGGGCTACTGTGATGATTTGACAGGATGTAAAAAATATGTAAGTTTAAATAACATCTATCCCAATACTTCATTCCCTCACTGCCCAGCTATGCTGCAAAAACTGAGAGGTGCATCCCATGATAACTTGTAATGGCACAGAGGATGCTCTGGTGAGTCTGAAGACTACAGCTGAAGATTTGTAGAATCCTCTATGACAATGAAAGGGCTATTGGGGAGCACGTCGCAAAATGCACACAGCTTTGCTAATGACCCTAACATATAGGTTTCTAGAATGATTGCATGAATGGCATGGGCAAGTTGGAATGGTCCTGACAATGGACCAAGGTATGCCCAGGTCATGGCTTTGTGGTTACTTTGTGTATACCAGCCAGTATTTCAAAGTATTCCTTACATGAATTCCTGGCGGGCTTTTCCCTCGACCAATGTTTCCTCAATGCCTTTTCCCTCATTCCCAGAAGCTAGAAAAGAAAACTTTGATTTGTTTTCCCACCCCTTTCATAGCAAAGCATAGGCTTCTGTTTGTGTAATGGGAATGGATTATGCAATAAGGACAAAAAGCCTTGATTAACACTGGTGGGTGAAACCTTTGCTTTAAAGCCATTTCAAATGACCATTATTTTCCACAAGCGTGGGCAGGAAGCATCATTCAAAATTAGCTCACAGGAGAGATGCTAATACAACATTTACATCATAACTGAAGTGAATATAGAGAAAACCTAATGGCTTTCTTTAATGGCACACAAGTCACTGAGTCAGAAAACCAAGAGCAATTGGCTAGCGATATGGAATGTTAATGTGCCCTCACCTTCACAGGAACTTTGGTGTCGTCGACAACGGGGCCTGTAGGGGCTGCTGTGTGCAGTAAAGGTAGAGAGCGGGTTAAAAACAGGTGTGGGAGTTCTTTCTTTGCCCAAGAAGCAAATAATGTGAATTAGCAAAATAACAGAACCAATTGGAACCTAAGCGATGAATTAAAATATACATTTACCTCTTGTGATGTATATAATTCAAGAGAAACAAAGGCACAGATTGGGGTGACAATGTTATGCACACTAATTTAAGAGTAAGACTCACTGAATTCACCATGAGTTAGAACTTCACTTTAAAGGCCAAACAACATGTGCCACCATTCAGGCAATTAACAATTACGTAAAGAATGTTTTGAAGTAAATAGTAGGCATAAGGGCCCCAATTCAGATCAGGAGCTTGACTGGGGTGGGACTGTAGGGGCTTTAAGCCTCTGTTCCTCTGCTGTAGCCCCAGTCCAGATTAGGAGCCCTGTACCTACTATTTGCACTAGAAGAAAGACTTTTGGTGCAAGTGGAAGGTTTTATTTCAATGCAAATAGCAGGTACAGAGGGAGGGGCCCAACACAGACTAGAACCATAGCAGGGGCAAAGATTTTGAACCTCCTACATCCCTGCTAGGATCACACACCAAAATGGCCCCTTCAATGCTGCCATTTAGTTTTTGAAAGCCATTCATGCAGTTGCCCGAACAACAGCATTACCTTCAACAACATACCATCAAACCCCATCCAGATGAAATTCTGTGTTGCCAATTTCCTGCCTGATTATTTCTTTTAGCAAACCGCAGCAGCTTTTCTGAGAAGTATTTTACAGCAGAAACAAGATGAATAGTGCACAGTTAAACGCTCTGGTTTAAGCACTGAAAGCTACGGGAAAGATATGAGACTTATAATCCAAACATATGCCATTAGCATATTTCACTTGCGACACCCATTATATTTCAGAGTTCTGAACAACAAGTAACAATAATACTCAGGGTTAATGGATAGAAACACATGGCATCTTTTAATTTACCTGTAGCAACAGAAGGTTCTTCAATTTTTTTGCCACTAGTTTTCTCTGTAGAAATTTCCTCTTTTCTATCAGAGAGAAATAAGGAACACTGTAAATTATGCAGCGAAGATGAAAGGAACAGGAATTCTTTCCTCTTTGACATACAGATTAAGGCCTTGATTCAACTAGGTATTCTCTAAAGTTCTATTGGTCTCAATAGGATAATGAATCTTCTATTTCATTCCTCTTTGCACTTACATCAATGGAACTTAAAACTGCTTATGTTGGCTGGGCAGGTGCCTTAGTTTTATAGACACAGCCCAAATAATGGAATAAATGCTTCTAAATACCCCCCCCCAATAATTAAAACATTTCTGTCAATAGTACAACAACAACACTATCCATGAATGAATCAGTCTGTTTCTGGTCTCTGTCCATTTTGCAAGTTGTTTATTCCTAATTCAATGCCATCCTGTTTCTTTTTTTTAAAAAAAATAAATCCATACAAAAATTTATATTTATATATTTGTTTTTTCACAAATGATTTAAATACATTTTCTATCTCAAAGTAAAATTTTCTAAACACACTGGGTGAGATTCAACTAATGAGTCCTATCAGTGGAAGTCCTACACAAAGAACTTGCACAACTTGCTTTCCCCCCATCTCTACCCCCCACCCTCCCAAAATTGGCTCAAGGTGGGGATGGGGGAAATCCCCAGAACAGGTGATTGTTCCATCCGGCAATGTTTACTGTGATATCAAGTTCCTTCCATTTTATCCTAGAATATACATTAAAAATGTGTATGTCCTTAAAACCAAGAGCTACAGCGCAAAATTCAGAGAAGTGTGAAATCCAAAGCCCTGTAGAACGCCCTCCCATCAGATGTCAAGGAAATAAACAACTATTTGACTTTTAGAAAACTTCTGAAGGCAGCCATGTTTAGGAAAGTTTTTAATGTTTGATGTTATCGTGTTTTTAATATTACATGGACTTGCTTAAAGCTGGGGAGGAGAATTAAGGGGTTATACCAAAATCCTTAAGAAACCAGTGCGTTCTGAGGAGGGATTTGAAATAAAAAGGTGGTTCTGCTCTCATAGTCAGAAAAGGAGCTCAGACACAGGGGGCAGTGAGGGATAACAACCAGCTTCATCATTGCCAGCTGTGCCTGCTTCTAAGAGAGCAAAAAGCTGAGGCTAATAGAGTTGGAGGAGTGAAGGTCATAAAAGGGTATAACAGAAAACAAGCAGAGAAAGGTAAGGTGAGGCAATGATGTGAAGGCCTCAGAAGGGAAAACCAATTCATATACAAGTGCACCAAATGTAGCCTCACTTCAGTTTAAACTTGTAATGAACTCTTGTAGGGTTATTTTTTAGGCAATGTAAAAGACTGCTTCTGTTTCTTTCTACAGTGATGCTTGAACTGGTCCTATAACTCAATTTTTCTCCATTCACGCTGTTCCTTTAATTTTTGCCCTCTACAAAACTGTTCCAATTTCAAAAGAGTAGTAGTGGAAGCAATAGTAAATAAAACGAATAAGTGCCACAACAAACAACTACAGGGGTCATTTTCACGGAGGTAAAATATTTCCTTTCCTTTCTGATGAATTGTTCCAATATTCTGCATGACACAGCACCTCATGTGGCTACCACACAACAGATGAAAGTCAGGAAATCTATATGTTCTCCTTCTTTGAGGGTCTTGTCTTACATTGTGACAAGCTAAACGTTCTTCTAATTTAGGGTGTCGACCCTTTCTAAAATATCCATTTGCCAAATTCTCTCAATCCTCTACCTTTGCAATCTGGTAACTTTCAACTAGAGGTGCCATGCAGAGGCTTATTTTGGGACATTATGCATCCAAAGCATGCCCTCTTATTACTATGGCATTGCCAGAGGAGGAATGATTGGAGTGAGGGGGAGGGGAGGACTGTAAGGAGAAAAGAGTTTGGCAATCAGAAAGAATGAACAAATGAAGAGGACTCCATGTTCTTTTCTCTCTCTCCCAGATTATAACTGGCCAGATCAAGAACACACTTGTATCTAAAGTAACATCTTTCCAAACAAAAGGTCTTCTCAAAATTCTTTCTGCTTGATCTGGTGGCTGCTAAAGCTCAGATTAAAGCCACAGGAATGCTTTCTTGTACATTTAACAGCTCACACAAGTGGTTAGTCATGAGAACCAATGAAAAGGAAACTTATATATCAACTTTCACACTCTGCTGAAAGTGGAATTTGTGAGGTTTCCTAGCCAGACTTTACTCCAATCATATGAGATCACAAGAACTGTTTAAAAAGGGTTTGGACTGGACATCTTGAATTTGGAAATGTTGATAAAAACCAGATTACAGAATGGTATATGTAACAGGGCACATTATTGAAAAATTCATGGAATTTTAAACAACAAACAAATATACAGTCAGAAGTAAATAACTTTATATGACTTCAATCTTGACATTATCCATCTCAGTTCTCCTGTGAATATTGCATTATGTCTATTTAGAAATTGTTTTGGAGATTGAAAGATCTTCAGCCTACAATAGCTAATGCCCAAATCTTCCTGGATAGGATTGTGGATCAAATTATTTATGAACAGAGTGTGATTCTGAATCACTCACCCTTTAGAGGCAGTCACTCATGGACACACCAGACTTAGAGGATTTTTTACACTCTTCTTAACTGTAGCAGGTGTAATAAATGTATGTCATGCACATAAGCTACATAACATTCAAAATGCTTACATACCTTTTACATTTTTGTTTACAGGAGGCAGGAACATCAACTGAAGAGAACTCTTATTTTGGTTTACTTACCTATCCTGGAAGGTTCTGTGTTTTACTCGCTGCAAAAAGATTTAAAAAGAGAAAAACAGATTACTTGCAAGTTTCTTCTTTCATTATTCCATGATTCAGTCTAATGCCATTTCTTTTCCACCGTGGACCCTTTAAATCTTTTTTTGATATGCCTTGGTCTTTTAAAAGAGACATTCTTCTGTGTGAGAAAACACAGTCTTTAGGTCTTACCCGTTGAATTATCTCCAGATGCTCCTGAGAATTACTGAAATTTTTCCCAATGTCAAATATGCAGAAAGTGTCTCGTTGACAGGCGGTGACCCAATTCTGGTATTCTGATGCATCTGGAATCCGATCCAGAAAGATCCGGAAGGCTTCCCATACAGCTTCTTGGCAGACTGAGAAAACAGAATAAGAATGCCTGCACTTTACTGGGCAAAAACTTTAATCTTGATTTAGTAACAGCACCAGTATAGAGACTTAAAGGTGTTTGATCCCTTACTAATGCTTCAGTCTGTCTCACACATGCAGCTAAATGTTGGGTTACATGGAACTCTGCTCCACAAATACCCAAATTGCCCAAACTCTGAAGCTCATTCAATCACTTGCTAGTTCTAACTTTTTTGAGAAGCAAAAGGACCACTGGTGGCCTCTCTCTTTAGAATTGTCTAGCAACTTCAAAGCTGGGCGAAACCACCCCCCTACACCCATTCTTTTCCTTTTGGGAAGAAATGTGCAGTATGCTCATCAGTATGTTTAGTCAGAACTAGTCCTCATATGTTTATTTCATTGTTCATTTTTTTACAGATTTGTTCAAAGCAGCTTACAGTATAAGAACGTCACACAATACCATAAAATACCTACTAAAAATGGACATACACACACACAACATTCATATATCAAAAAACAGTAATAGAGGAACAGAAACAAAACCACAAAGCCAATAAAATAATCAAATGTCTTCCAAAACAGTCGTGTTTTTGCCAGATGTGCATAGAAAGATTAGCCTGATAAATATGCATTGGGAGGGCATTTCACTTAAGTGGGAGTTACTCAGAAGTAATTATTTATTTGTTCAATAAAGCTTACAGTAAAGCCACTTACTCCAAACGATAGACTTTGTTTCCCCAGTGATATGCCTTTTTGCGACTGTAATTCTACATGGTTATAGTTCTATTCAGCCTTCTCCTCAAAATGATTTTTTAAAAAATGTTTCAGAAAATCATGAGGTCTCAGCCGAAGGGAAGACATAGAGAAAGGACAGCAGCTTGCTCAGCTGTAATTAGGAGGTGAACATGTTAACTCAGTCATGAAGCACTAATTTCTTCAGATTAATCAATAGTGAAAATCATGGGTATGGGGTGGTTATTGAACTGTTGGCTCCTTTAGCTGGGGTTATGATCAAGCGGCAATGTGTGGTTGGAAGAACCAGGCCTATGGCAGGAAAATTGCTCTAAGTATGATGGTAGTAAATAAAATAGCAGGCTCCAAAGAGTGGCTTTTAAAAGTTACATTGACAGGTGGAAATACCCTGGCAAGTACAATAATGAGAAATGCCTTTCCTCTTGATTTTCTACCTCAATCAAACAGGCTTCTGCTGCAATAAAATATGTCAACTCTAACTCCCTGTGAGACATGTTTTATACCCCTACTACTCCAAGGCTCTGTACACACTAAACATATTTAGTGCACATTTGAAGCACATTAACTACCTTTGAATTCGGGGCACTGTAGTTTGTTAAGGGTTGCTGGAAACTAACTCTGTGAGGGGTAAACTATGGTGCCCAGAACTCTTTGAGGGAAAGAAAGTGCTTTGAAGGGCAAGTGCAAGTTGCGCATGTATTAGCATCTGAATAATCAGAGATTTGGATAGATGAAACTGCTGTTTGCAAAAAGCTGCACTGATTGAGGTGGGGCGAATTGGTGACAACAAATCATATAAACAAGAGATTCGAGCTATGGGCCAAGTAATAGCTTTTTAGATATTTGGTGGCAATACTACAGAACCATCATTTGAGTACATACACCCACCCAGTTTTTATTTCCTGTTCTAGACCTTGCAAAACTATTCCCCACCCCAGGATTTCACAGTGCTTTATACCTGTACCCTATAAAATCTAAAGCTAGCCACCAGAACTAGTTCCTAGTGCTGCTGCAATAACGAAAGGTGACTATGGCTGGTTCCTATTGGAAGTAAAGTATTTTCCTCACATTCATGCCCAGATAATTCCTGAAATGGTTTTCAAAGGGTTTTAAAACCCACACTTTACTGAAAGCATAGTTATTTATCAGCTGATCCTCATGGCTCCTACTGCAGCCTTTTACAGTGTAGGACTACCAATATGATACAAAAATGCTCTTGAAATGGTGTATTTCTGAAAAAAAGTGTTTTTCTCTGGGCATGCCCTCTCATTCATTACATTTGAACAGTAACCAAGCTACTGAAGCGGGATCAGAATCCTGTGGTAAAAGGGAAAAACTCTCCTATTGTTCCACAGAAAGAATTGCCTAGGCACAGATGGAAATAATCTAGCCATAGATAATGCCAATTCTAGTGTACATTTTATCCCCACCCCCCCAGAATCTATTGACTCATAAATGTTATACTGTCTGAAGTATAATTATGTGGTCCTATGCATCTATATTCCTGCTTCATTTGTTGTCGTTTCAAATGACCCTCCAGGAAAAAGAAAAGAAAACCTGCTTTGATGTATAGTCCCCATGGAAACAACTCTCCTCTTTTGTACATTGGCTCTAATTTGTTAAAAGTTAAAGTGCTCCCTCTCGATGCTGAATAACTAACCGAACCGCATGCCAAAACTGTAGCTACTGGTGGAAAATAACAGCCATCGCAGCTGTGGAACAACTGCTGGCTTCTGTATCATTTGGGGAAATAAAAGCAAGCATGTGCAAAGGCACAAAACTAATAAGGCTGGGATGACGCTTCAGAACAAACACACAGTAGGGTAAAATCTCATGGCTGCAAGGAAGAGTTCCAAGAGTCCCCTCTGCTCAGCCTCTGTCAGCAGCCTAGTGCAATTAATACAACAAGCTCCAAAAAGGAGGACTAACGTGCACACAAATATTTAACAACCTGCTGTTCATAAATGAATGTGTGCATGTCAGACTACACAAGCCCATTAATTAATTCCTAACAAAGAAAAGCAACAAGGATTTGTTTTTTTGCCATATCGTACAAACCAGCTTGAATAGCTTTAAAAGGGAGCTGAAACGTATGTTGTCTGAGGGAAGTTTTTGAGAGGAAAAAACAAGCCAAAAACAAATTTCAATTGGTTCTCCCCCCCTTTTTTTTGATGGGGAGGGAGATATATCAATGGTGGCCTTGATCCAATGCTTTTAGCACAATATCCTGTCCTCAAACAATGGATGGAGGGTATAGATGCAAAGGAAGATGGCAGTAGTGGCTGGTATACATTGGAACTGGTGGGGCAGAAAGGAGGGAGCCAACAGCAGGTGGCGCTAGAGCCAATGACTGGCAGAGCCAACTAATTCTACTTCTAATGCCTCCATCCTTCCTGCTGAGCTCTACAAAAGCAACATGGAAACTAAGGAAGAGGAGGAAACTGGCAGCCAGGGCCTTTCCCCAGAACAGGGTTTTTCAACTAGTGTGCCATGGCACCCTGCGATGCCTTGAATGATGGTCAGGAGTGCCGTGGGCAACACTGGCCTCTGTCCCTTTTTCCTTCTCTCCCTTCTCTGATGCCCTCTCACATTTCTACCTACCAAAAGCTTGCACAGCTGTTTGTTGCAGCAGCCCAGGCTACAAGCTTCCGAGGTGCATGGTGCCTCTGGGGCTGGCCAGGAAGTGCTTGGTGCCAGGAAAAACCCAGATGTATGGCAATATGGTGGAAAAAGTAGCAGAAACCGCTAAAAGCCTAAAAGCCTAAAATCACTATTTTCGGGGCTCAACAACTTTGTAGGTGTCAGGAATTTTACTTTTTGAACCCTAATATAACAGGTGCCTGTGGGAGTTCTTTCCATATTCACCTGGATATGAAATGCATAGTTTCTAGATGCAATGAAACTCATGACATAAAAACCTCCATACCTTAAAGACAGTCCTGAAAAATAAAGCTCAATCCCATATGCATGAAGAGAACTGCAGTCTAAAATCAAGAATTGCTATGCAATTTAATTTTGCTAATGTTTTTGAAAATCCATTTGTAGAATATATAGGCAAGGACTGCATAGAGAGAGAAAATGCAAGGAAGAATGGATGCAAGAAAGAATGAACGAAAGAACGAAAAAAAGATTCCGTAAGCTTTTATCACAAACCTCATAAAGACAGATATTCTCACACTTCATAATTGGGAAGAACAACTGCTGTTCTTTAATCATATGGTGGTGAATAACCACACATAGAAGCATTATTGCGCATCTCGTATAATCAACATGAAGTGCTGTCATAGGTGTTGCTGCCCTGCGTGAAGGCCCAGGGTGGCATCATAATTTGATGCTCAACTCAGGTTTGGGACTGATTACAGAAATAAGCTCACGCAGCTGCAATCTGTATCTTACTATTGGATAGTTAGGAAAAGTAGTATAAGACATAATTTAGGCAAATAAACCCAAAAGTTTACAGTAGACTACCATCGCTGAATACTAGGAGACAGACTAGTTTACATACTAAATAATCAATGCACCTTTATTATTATCATCATCATTATTAGTATTTGGGTATCTAAATTGGTAGCAAAAGTTGGTATGCTGGATTTGATTTGATGTATCTGCTGTTGTTGTATGTGTGCCTGTATATGATTGCTTTTTTATATATGCAATTGCTTTAACCGTTTTAAGAGATATAACTTTGATCATATTGTGAATCACTTTGGAAGGTATCATGGGAAGCAATTCATAAATAAAGTATTCTCCTGAGGGGAGGGGAGAAGAAAGAAACTTGAGGAACTGTCACCATTGATATCCCTCTGTGGCCTCTCCTACCGCCCAACTGCCACCATGGGGGGGAGGGGATGGGGGCTCTGAAGGACCACCTTGCCCAGAGGGGAGGGGAGAAGCAGCAGCTTCTTCCAAACAGACAAACTGCCTTATCCATTCTGTTGCAACTGTTTCTTAAAAAGCAATGCTGACAGTTGTAGTAATCTTATGTAAACTGCTTTGTGAGGTTTGCCTGAAAAGTGGTAAATACTGTGAATAAATAACCCATTGATGAGCCATCAACTAATCCAACTGCCTAACAAAAGAAGCCTTTGCCACCGGAAGCTTTAATACTACAGTAAATTATAAATAACGGAACAGGTAAGAAATATTACAAAAGTATGTGCACAAAATAAGAACTATGTCCCCCTCCCCACTGCTTTCTGTTTAAAGTGATATGATAGATGTGACTATATTCCTTCTTTTGAAATGATCCCTTTGAATGGGCTCATTCCTTGGAGGATGAATAAATAACCTTTGCGTTGATAATACTTCCTTCAGTGGGTCAGGGGCTCCTGGCAGTGGGTGATTAAATCAGAACATAGCTGGGTTTGTGATGAGTGTGCAAGACCGCATGGTGACTTGCCTGCCTGGTGCAAAATGGCAGATCACAACTCATAAGTCATCTAGATAGCCTGTACAGCTCAGGAGGAGATCGTGATCATGGTACGTATTGGTATCAATGACATGAGGGAAAGTAGTTGTGTGATCTTGGCAGCAAAGTTTAGGTTGCTAGGTAGAAAGCAGAACCTTCCAAGGTAATTTCTCTAAAATGCAACCTCTTCCACATGTGAGGCCATCTACAGCTGATGAGTCTCAATGTGTGCATGAGATGGATGTTTTAGATTTATTAGGCCCCGGAGAATATTTTGGGCCCAGCCAGACCTCTAGAAAGGCTCCACATGAACCAGAGTGCAACCAGAGTGCTTGCACTTAAATTTAAAAGGTGGCTGAGCAACTTTTAAACTGATCCCTAGGAAAAAGCCAATTGGAGGGGAGGGCCGTGCAGTTACAGATGAATCATCCCTAAGGGATGAGGGTGAAAATGTTTTTGATTAGAGTAACTAGGCAATGAAAGTGCAGAGGGGCATGACAGGCATTCACAAAGGCCAAAGCACCATAGAGGAAAACACACATGCCAGAGAAATTTGGAGAGAGGCACCATGTACGTGTGTTTATATGCTAGAAACTTCTGAGCCAAGATGGGTGAACCAATGAAGTGCTTGATTTTAAAGGAGAGCATCAATATAATGGGCAAAACAGAAACATGGTGAAGTGGAGAGAAAGCCAGTGGGACAAGGCTATCTCTGGATACAAATACAAACCAAAAGGGCATATTAGGAGTCACAACATTCTTTACTATAGTATCGAATGAACTAGAAATCCAAAAAGGACTTCTCCACAGAATCACTTAGGTGGCAATACAAGGCCCTAAGAGTAATTTAGTACTAGGAAGGTACCATCATCCCCTGTTGAAAACATCCAGAGTGATTTTGAGATATAAAGTGAAATAAAGGAGGAAGCCGTAGGAAGAAACATTGTAATAATGAGTAACTTTGATTACAATGTTCCAGTGATGAAAAAGAGGTAACATTTCTAGGTGCCCTTAATGACTAACCTAAAACAGTTGGCCATGGAACCAACCAGACGGGAGGCATCCATGGACAGAAACTTGAATGGTGCACAGGACCTGGTGACATGCAAGATTTAAGTGTTGTTGAACTGATTGCTAAAAGTTGCCATGGTGCTACCAAATTCAACATAGATTTGAGTGGGAAATTGCCAAGGAAGCCCAAAACAGTTACTTCAAGGAAGCAAACATTGTGACTTGGTGAATTCAATAATGCATTCTCAAGAGTACCATCTCTGCCATAGTCTTGCTGAAATAAAAGGGTTAATCACTGTGCAACTTTCTTTTCCATCCTTATTAGTTCATTCTAGGTAGCTGCTTAGGGTACTTTTTTGTAAGGGTAATACAATGATATAAAAAAACAACATCCCGAATTCAGGTAGGTAGCCGTGATGGTCTGATGTAGTAAAAATAAATTAAAAAATAAAATAAATTGCCCAGTAGCACCTTAGAGACCAACTAAGTTAGTTCTGGGTATAAGCTTTTGTGTAAGTGTGCATGCACACAAAAGCTTATACCCGGAACAAACTTAGTTGGTCTCTAAGGTGCTACTGGACAAATTTTTTAATTTTTTAATTTATTTCAACTTCCCGAATGTTAAGAGCAAAGGAGACAGAAATATCACACTGAGGGGGCTGTTCCACAAACAGAGAAACACCACTGAGTAAAACCACTACCTAAGGAGTACCTCAGAGGCTATTGAAGTAGCTATACCCAGAATATGCCAGCACACCATGCTAACCCGCCCCACCCCCTAGTCTTTGATGCTTTAACTGTTCCTTGGCAGATGAACTACATCTCCTGCTCAATCCCTATTTGTTTAATGATACCAAGTAACATTCAGAGCATGCATGAAATCCTGCAGTCAGAGAACACCAATCTGCAGGCCACACCCAGCCATGCCTTCTCCTTGCCCCACACCACATCTTGTGGGGATTTTGATGGGATTTTTGTTGGGATCATAGCATAAAAAGAGGAGCACACACAGCACCAGTTTTCTTCCTAAGCATAATTACTATGCAGGGAGAGGATCTTGCTGGAAAGGGAATGGTTAACCATACTCCTCCTATCCCTGTGATCCTAGTAATAGTGCTGCCTCTTGCGGTATTTAGGTCTTGAAGAAAACAGGTGCCATTCTGGGCAAATAGGAAGCCATCAACTTTTACAGTTCTAGGTTGGATTTATTCCATTCTATAAAATGGCAGAAAATTTATCTGCTTGCAGTTTTTCTGTAAACACCACAAGTTCCTGATACACATGAATCATTTTTAACCCATTTGCAAAACTCATGTGTGACAAAACCTATGGCACCGCGGCTGATGAATTATTCAAGATAATGTATTATATACGTTCTACAAACATTCTTGCGGAACATCTTAACTCTAACTCACAAAACATAAATATGAGAGATGCAGAAATATGTGGAACTGCATGACAATTTTTCTGCATTTGCTGATGCTCCAGAAGAGGGACAGCATTTATCATATTTAGCAGACAAACTCAAACAGCTTCACTAAGCTATTAAATTTGTCTTGGACTGCAGGTGTACGCTATCTGGATCCTTTTAATTCAAAGCAGCTACATCATTATAAACAGCCCCTCAAAAGCCTGTGTGTCTTGGAAAACCTTCCTCCAACACCCTTCTTTTGGCGTGGTGCAGCACAAATCTCCAGATGTCCATAGGTTAGATATAGTTCTAAGTGATGCAGGAGGGCGTAAAAGAATCCTACTTGTGCCTTGTGCTACTTTTCCTAGAACGAAAATGCATCATCCAGAAATTCATGTGACACAGCTCTCACATTGGGCTGTACTAGGATTCAGTGTGTGTGGAGGGCAAGCTGCCTCTGGAATGCTGTTGGTTCAACACAACATCTCTAGAATTAAGCTGCAATTTAATAAAACAACAAACAACAAGAACCCTAATGGATCAGAAGACCAAGGGCTCATCAAGTCCCATATCCCACAGCAGTCAACTACCTGCCTCTGTGAAATCCTCTGGGAGTTGTAGTCAAGCATCATTTTGAGGACACCATTTTGGTTACCCTGGGTTTACATGGTTACTTATGAAGAGATGAAACGCAGGCAGAATTGACAGCACAAGACCAGGCTGACTGTTTGTCTGATTCAGTATAAATTGTTGCTTATAGACTGTTTGTCACATTTATACCTCACCCTCTCTCCAAGGAGATTGGAGCACCATAAAATACATTAAAAATTATCTCATTTTAGCATCAGACAACCTTGTGAGCTGGCCTAGGCTGACTTTCATTGACTTGCCTTAGGTCATCCACTGATCTTCATGGCTGAGGAGAATTTTGACACCAACTTCTCCACAGCCAAACTTTGAAGTATAACACTGGGACCCCACACGGTCATTTTTAATATACTGGCAGTGTTGCACCACTTATATCAGGAAAGATATAACACTGCCTACAGAGTCGCTTTCAAAGTCTTTTCTTGCAAGGAAAAAGCAAACATGTGGCCAATAGGTTATGGGTACTTGTTACAAAAATAATTGCGTGGTATATCGAAAGCAGTTCAAATTGTGGCATGCTCACCTCTTAGCCTATAATAAGCTTGGTGGCTTGCTAAAATTTGTTTCACTGACTCTTGAGGGCAAACCTTCACTCCAGTTGGGAAAAAAGAAGACCTCTTTGTTCGATGTTTCGCCATATCAAATATCCTTCGGATGGTGGATACTTTAGACCTCTTTGTCGTTCTTTCTGACTTTTCAGACCCTGAAGCATCTGCAAGATGTTTTGCTTCACCGCGATTCATTTTATTAGGGGTTTCTGTTAAAGGAAAGGCAAAGATAAAAAAATACATCAATAAAATGCTATACAGTACACAGATGGTTGTGGGTAGTCAACCCCCATTTACTGAAGAATAAGGAAACAAACTATTACCTCAAAATACCAACAACATGACAAATGTTTCATTATAACTTGCCTCTGTTACAAGGAACTGGGTGTAGATCTGCCAACTAACCTATGCATTACTGTCCACTGTGCTACATTTATTTTCTCTTTCAAGTCAAAGTGGGTTTGCCTGTTGCATCATTCAGCAGCTTATGCTTGGCTGTTTTGAGTCACATGCACTCCAGGCACTCCCAGCCCCACCAGGATGCATCTGCTTCTGGCTCATGAAAGATACCAAAGCACTGGGAAAGCTGTAACTAACCTTTTTGTGGGAAATTATGCAGGAAGGTAATCCTTAATAAACGAGAGCAGAACTTTGTACAGCGTATTTGCTAGTCTAGATATTATGCCTAACACAACTTGATACATGACATACTAATTCAAGGTGCGTGTGAATTTTTAAGTTAACAGTAAGGAAATTATGAGCTTTGAATTTCAATGGCTAAAAAAAAAAAAGCTGCATTATCAGTTTCATGGAGATAATGAAGGAGCAGTCAGTGAAGTAATTATATTTTCAATTTTATTCACTGATGCTTAAAAAAAATTATAATGTTGATTTTAAATGAACTTTTCAAGATGCTTTGGAAGCATTTTTGCAGTTCTGTCTTTTAATTGCACAAGCAGCCTAAAAGAAGGAAAGGTAAATAGCATCCCAATATTTGTTTAAAGACCTTCCATGAAAAGGAAATGGTAAAATGTGTAGATAATTGGAAAACTTTCTGAGGCAGAAAATATTTGTCTAGGAGGCCAACAATATGTGTGTAGCTAACTTAGATACCAATGAATTGACTGTAGATGGTAATTGCATTTGGAAATAGTTCAAATTCAGTAAGGGGCAGAGAAAAGGAATCAAATGTCTTTCAAGAGAATCAAGCTTACAAGAAAATAAGAATATTAGGAAAACTAAGAGCTAAATATTTAGTGGAGCATGACAAGTTTCCACGTAGCAGGAATGATCTACGTCTATAGTTTTCTCTTACTCTCTGAAATGAAGAATATAGCTTCAAGCAAAGCCGTAAACATTCATTATTATGTCAGTGGTTGTTAGATAGATGAAAAGAAAATAAGAGAGAATATATGCTTCATTGTGATGATTTGGAATTGAATGACTTGAATCTGAACTGACAGGAAAAAAATTGGGGGGAGTGACACTTCCGGTAATATGTCAGAGAAAAAGTAGATTCCTTTGTGCATTGGACTGTTGCATAATTTCTTAATTAACATTCCAATGGATGTCTTTTTCAAAACACACAAGCTGGGAACAGTTATTCCAGTACGTTTTAAGACCATTTAGACAAGTGCTCTTCCACACAGAGAGTAAAACACCTGGATAATATGAGTCTGGTCCAGAACTATTCTTTTGCACAAATCTTAGTGTTGGTTGCAAGGGCAGGGCGCACACACACGCGCGCGCACACACACACACACACACACACACAGAGAGAGAGAGCTTCTAATATCTTACTGACAACAAGGAAAGAGAAGACAGCAATGTGGTTCTGCCATATTTCTCAGCTCCATTTCTATCAACAATCATTTGTTTTTCACTAACCTGTGACCAGGCAAAATGAGCATCAAACACAAATAAAACAGTTTGCCGAAACGGCACACCTAAGAAGGAGAACCACACAAGATATTCAATAATTGGGAAGGCCTTGACAGGGACTTGTAAACAATAACAACAACAAACAACCTTGCATGAACTAAGGCACTGCCAAAGTGGAAAAGCAGCACTATACAAAAACTTTCAATCATAAGGCACAAATGTGAAGCATGTATGGAACAACTTCTTGATAGTTCAGTTGGCCTGAGACTCTTAATCTCAGAGTCTTGGGTTCAAGTTCCATAATGGGCAAAATGATTCCTGCATTGCAGGGGGTTGGACAAGACGACCCTTTCAACTCTACAATTCTAAGGAAGGGGCGGGGGAAATAAAACCTTGATTTTGCTGTAAACTTCTATTTAGTCTTTTCCAACCTGAATCCCCACAGATATACTGAACCTATCAGCCCCAGCCAGCACTGGCCTAAATTGATTCACAAAAGTTCTTATTTTTATTTAGTTAGTTGTTATTTGTTCATTCTGCGATCCAGCATGCAGAATGGGCACAGCAACATGTAGGGCTGGCATAAGGGATTGCACTTTTCTCCTACTTCTTTTCCTGAGACACAGCAAACTCCATTTCACTCCTGTTGTGGAGATGACATTATGGTTTAAGCGAGTGTGAAGTATAGAAATTGTTCGTTTTCAGATTATTTCTTTTTTAAACAGAGTTGCCATGCTATTTTTGGTTGGTGTTTTGGTTTGAATCTATCAGGAACGTAGAGGCTGTTGCAATCATAGACTGGGTCAAGTGCGGGGTGGCAGATGAGAAGTCTTAAACATGTGCTTTACAACTGGTGTACTGCACATGGACACAACCATTAAGTCCAGGATCTAAAATTACCTCACTGCACTGCTGGTTTCTTATACAGTTGCCCCTCGGATTACAAACACCTCGGGTTACAAACACTTTGGGTTACAGACTCTGCTAACTGGGAAGGAGTACATTGGGTTAAGAAATTTACCTCAGGAAGAGAACAGAAATTGTGCGGTGGCAGCGGGAAGCCCCATTAGCTAAAGTGGTATCTCAGGTTAAGAACGGTTTCAGGTTAAGAGCGGACCTCCGGAACGAATTAATTTCGTAACCAGAGGTACCACTGTATTGCTAATTTGCCATCAGTACTGGCAGCCCCCCCCTCTCTCCTCCCTTCCTCAATCATGGTAAAACCTCTGGCCCTTCTTCAGAATGAGACAGGGAGGCAGAAAGCCTCACAAGGTGGGTGGACAGAGATGGGTAGAGTATGGCTGGTACAGGCAGTGAAGCAAGCAAGTGGGAGGAATGGTGCTTGGTGCCTGACACAACTGTCTCAGATTGCCTCATTAAAGTGACAACACAATGTAGTTCACATGCTGGGTTGTTGTTTTTTCCTGGGCCCAGTAAACAAATCTATTATTTTTCATTCAAGATCTGTTTTTCACTAACACATTGTGAAATTTGAACTCAGGCCTTCCTAGTCCCCATCAAACACTCCACTGCAGGAGTGAGGGATTTCTGGCCTGCAGGCTAAATTATGCCCATCAGGGGTTCTACTTTTGCTCAGAAAGCTGTTTTTAGCTAGCCATGCCCACATGATGTTAGGTGTAGGGCAGGTAAAGCCACAACTGCAAATGAATAATTAGGAGCCTCAACCTTCCTAACTGGTGCTTACATTTGGACACCTTTAAATGGTGCAAATGCAAGTCTCTTTGGGGTTGGTTCCCCTTAAAAATGCCTAAATTGGGGTCTCCCAAACTTGGGTCTACAGCTGTTTTGGGACTACATTTCCCATTTTCCTGACCACTGGTCCTGCTAGCTAGGGATGATAGGTGCTGTACAAAAACAGCTGGAGACCTATGTTTGGGAAACTTTGGCCTAAACAAAGACAGTCCCTTGCAGCTGGTTCTTGCAGATGGCATAAATATTTGCTGTTAAGGACAAAAAGGAAGCATCCAGAGGTTTCATTTCCCATTACTTTTGTGAACACCGCACATACTTGCTCTCACATGATCTTTCATGTACTTTTCATCACCAGGCACAGTCAAGGCCCTCCCCTCCCAGACCAGGGGGAAGTAAGCCAGAGAAAGGATTCATAGAAAGACGAAAACACATTCGCCTGCTTTGTGAGGTAATTGTATCTCCCCTGTAATCCATTTCTAAACTATAAATAGATAAACCCAATATCCCGTGTCTTCAAGCTCTCCACACTTGGAAAGATCATTGTTCACCAGCTCCTCCCCTATATCTTACTTACATAGATATAGTTACTAGTAATTGCATACCTTTTTTCCACCAAAGAGCAAAACCAACAAAATGCAGGCCATCACATTGAGCACCTTTTAAAATATCTCACTTGCCAAGTTCTATAGCTGCTCAGTACCAATATATCCTTTAAGAAGTCCTGTGACATGAAAATTACTTGTACTACTATGAATTCCCTTCCTTTCCTTCTGTAGGCGATTAAGCTTGACTCATCCTAGCTTCACATAATTCTAAATCCTTGACAGGTGAACTGTGATATACCTGTTCTCTCTTTTTTAAAAAGTCAACAGAAGTTGATTAGTAGGGTGTTGACAATCCATTCCCATTTGCACCTGATACCACAGCCAACCAAATCATTTTTAAAGGTGTAGTTCTGCTTTCTCCCTGGGGAGGGCAAAATGCATAGCAGGAGAACTCACCGTGTGTCTTGACTCTTAACCATTCTCTGAACTGTGGCAAGTTGCATAGCTGGCCTGACTCTGCATAAGGCTGCTCTCTATATTCAACTAAAGAAATACAATTCAAACACCAGAAAGGAGCAAAGGGCCTTGCTGTAAAACACAGTGCTGGACCAGCAACCTCCCATTCAATTGCTTGTGACAAAGAGGAGTATTCCAGGATTAAATAGCTAATCTGTTCACACTGAGCACATATATACATCGTGTGAAAATTCAGGACAAGGATATATGAATTTGTCTTGCTGAATCGGACCATATACCGTATTTTTCGCCCTATAGGACGCACTTTTTCCCCTCCAAAAATGAAGGGGAAATGTGTGTGCATCCTATGGGGCGAATGCAGGCTTTCGCTGAAGCCTGGAGAGCGAGAGGCGTCGGTACGCACCAACACCTCTCACTCTCCAGGCTCCACGAAGCTACCCGCAAGCCTTGCACGCCCGGGGGAACTCCCCCCGGGTGCGCAAGGCTTGCGGGCGGCAGCCTGCAGCGCGGAGCACAGGGCGCCCTTCCGAGGACGCCCCGTGCTTCGCGCAGGTGTCAGCAAGCCTTGCGCACTGGGGG